TTAAGGAGCCCATCCAATGTGCTGTGCCAGTCCTGGCTGCTGTACTTGTAAAATTGAGGAATTAACAGGGCGCTTGATAACCAAGTCCTATTTTTTCTCTAGTCACAGTTTAACAATGAGGACGTTCAGAACTTTGGATTTCTACAGAAAGCATCAGGATGCAATGACTCCAGCTGGGCTGGCCTTCTTCCAGTGCCAGTGGGATGACTCCGTCACACACACTTTCCACGAGATGCTCAGTGAGTTTGGCATCTCTGATTTCCAATGAGCAGATGAGCCTGATTGATACTCCCATTCCTAAGCCATAATAAGGTTAAATGTCAAACATTTTGGCTGTGGCATGTACGCACAGTAAAGCAAGCAATTTCAGGACCTTCTAAAAATTACCTGCACCCAAAACCATCCTTAATCATACCAGAGTTCTGTTGAAAATGCTAGAATGAAAATGTTTAAATGGCATTGGGTGGCATTGCTGCCTTCTAAATAATTTTCAGGGCAGGCTATACTAAAATTGCCAAAGGCTCCCCATAACAATTTGTGTTACCCTTCCAAAACTGCCTTTAAGCACCAAATTCTGGTTTTGTGACTCTTCTTTCATTTCATTCCGGTACCAGAGTCCTGCCATAATGGTTCAGTATGGATTGTAGTCGGTCTTGGGTTCTGTAAAAATACATTATTATACCTTATTTTGCATTAACAGTTACAGAGTGTAACTTTGCATTGTATCTCATTTTACTTATCTGTGCCTTTTCTCCTCAGGTATGAAGGAACCTGTGTTTGAGTATGACAGACCACCTGTGTATCATCCTCCACAGAAAAAGTACCCTCATGGGCAACCCCTCAGATACCTGGACAGATACAGAGACAGCCAGGAACCCAGCTATGGCATCTACTGATCTGATTTGAACGGCTTCTGCTGCATGTAATGAACTGGGTGACCTCTGCCAAGCCTACCAAAAGCCTGGCAAGGCTGTGAAGACATTAACCAAGAGTTCCTGAGGCTGGAGACAGATTTTCTACTGAGACTCCTTTTTTGTTTGTTGTTTATTGTTAAGATAAAATAGTCCCAAACACAGTCCTGGATTAATCTTTCATTAATCATGGTACCATCATGTTCATATGGTAAAATCAGTGGATGTTAATGAAAAAGGACAGCAGATTTAATCAGCTGCCACATTAATACTGTTTTTTGTGTGAAAAGGCTTGGTATTATGTATTTGAACTTACTACCAAGTACAAACTAAGGTGAACCATGAAAACAAAACTTTTATCTTCTGGTGCAAGAGTTCTTTCCATGCTTAAATGGTGCATCTTGTTATCCTTAATATTCAGGCTGGTACTGCTATATTTGTTATAGGGGGAAGGAGAATTCAAGTCAAGCAAACTGAGTTGGTCAGGGAAAATGAGGTCTGGGAATAGTTCGGTAGTGATTCAGGTACAGACATACAGCTGAATGCTGTTTGAGACATGGGAATATGTATTCTATTAACGTGCCATTTTCCAAGATTCTCATATCTGATGTTATGAATAACAGAAATCATTATCATTGTAATTATTAATAATTTTCACCTTTCAATAATACCACACTTGTAAAACTTTTTTTAGATTAATGATCCCGGGGCCAAGAGATAATTGAAATGAATATTGTACGCAATGACCTTCAAAAGTATCAGTAGAAACTGTGTGCAAGAGAAGGTATCTTTCCCACCCCTTTTGTAAACCTAATGCTTAAGGGTATGTTCACAGCTGCAGTGTGTTTTATTAGTTTGGAATGCTATTATGACCTTAAGGTTAGTAAACATTTTCACATTTGGTTTTTGCCATTCAATTACTTCACAACACTGCTGCTTTTTTTCCCCCCACAGCAACCCAGCATCTCTAGGAAAAGGACAGATATTTATAAAATCATTCAAACATTATCTCTGATGTACCCCAACAGCAGATTTGGAATTGTTTTTCATAATTACTTCTCTTCTTCTTTGTCCAAGACTAAGGAAACAAATAACATTCAATACTATCGGTTGTGTTTACAATCTTTTCTTGTGATTGTAAGAGCATGCTCTGTAGAAAACATGGAAGCTAAGAAGGCTAGAAGTCTGTTTCTTTCCTTGACCTTCAGGAGGCAAGAACAGTTTCTTTCCAAAAATTTTCATTGCAAGAGTCATTTGACATCGTATACCAGTGACATTTACAGGCTCCCCCACAACCAACTGAAGGTCTTCTTGAGTGTCAGCGAACATCTGCCGTATGAAAGAAGAGAGATCAGGATCTGCTGGGATAAAATTAACTGGTTGGACCGAATGATACCATTTTCAATGTGTTAAGCGTTCCTTTTTTATTCATGTTTTAAGGCCAGAACTTTAAGTCCTTATTATTTTATCCCATTTACATTGTTTTAATCGGAACACAATTTTATATGCATTTTGCAGAACCATAATCTCCCTTTGACAGATGGCTGCCAGTATCGTTTTGTATTTTTGACAGACCTAAATTATTAATAAGGGTGTCAAAATCAGTGATGTAATCCTTTTCTGGATTTAACATTTAAATTTAAAAATACAGTGAATTTATCTTTAACTATGCTTAATGCCAAGGAATGGAAAATAAAGTCCAACCCTTTAATATTTATGGAAATACATTAGTGCAAGCAGCTGTTAATAGTGTTTAAAAACGTGTTCTTGTACAGCACTTGGCAAAAAGCAATAGTACGCTGTAGCCCATTACTTTAGCATACTAAAGTAAAATAATGCATCACTGTATTATAGAAATATGTCAACATACAAACAATATAACTAGTATGTAATATAGCACATCACTATCACATTACTGTGGTGTACTATAATATATCATCACTGCAATGCATTAATGAAGTGTAGTACAGTAAAATAACACCACTGTCTACACGATTAGTGTACTACAGCAATATTGTACATCACTGAATTGCTACAATGTATTATAGTAACAGCACACCACACATAATACATTATTATAGTATAGTGTACTCCAATCATATACAGTAACACATCACTGCAGCACATTACTATAGTGTTCTATAATGTACCACACCACTGCACCACATTATTATACTTTTCTATAATATAACATCACTACATCACATTTTTACAGTGCACTATAATATGGCACATTACTGCATTGCATTATTATAGTGTACTATAGCACATCACTGTAACATTATTGTAGTGTAATTTAGCACATGAAAGCATCAAATTAATGTAGTAATATAAAATACCACTGCTTCACAGTATTTGTACTATAGTAAGCATTTAAGGAAACCTACTTTTAATGCAGTAGATCAAACTATAGTTTAGTGATAGTTGTAAACCACCACAAAGAAGTACAATATAGGAAAACATGGAATAAAAGTCTTTAATGTTCATTTAAAAATAAACAGTAAGAAATGGACACTCATTTTAACCTTTTTCAAGTTACTCAAGCCATATAAAGAGATCTTCATGTGATTTGAAAAGATGAACCTTTTTATACCAGATACAGTATATAGTGTAAAATGCAAAGGAATAATTACAAAAACGAGGATGTAGATGAGTAAACAGCAAGCAGTCCAACTCTCATCTGTTTCAGAGAATACTGACAGCAGTTTATGGACATTAATTATGGATTTGGCGTTATTGCTACTGGTCTCATTTCTATAAACATACATGCAATCATTACAAACTATTTTTAAACTCCTGTGGCACAACATCAATACCAACTGTAACCACCCAGATTACAACATCATAAAACCAAGCTTAACTTATTTTAGGGAGACAAAATGGAGATTGACCTCATTAGTGAGACATCAGAACAAAATCTCATGACCAAATAGAGTAGACAAGTATTTGCTGGGCTGGCAAAAGCCTCTTAATAAAAGCAGCACTGGAGGGTTTATTCCACCAGTGATCGACAGCTTCAAGTGGTAGGTTGTTTAAGTTTAAATACTGATCACAGTATTTCAGGTACTGAAGATAGGTCCCTGCAGGACTAATTTCACTATGATTAAGAATCTTAATCAGACAAGTTTACAAAAACACATTTATCACTTTCTATTTGGATAAAAACAGAAGAATTCCATTAAAATCTTTTAGATATTGTTGGGCAGAATTTTTTTTTAAAAAGTCTGTTCTAAAAAATAAGTTCTAAAATTTTAAAAACATTCAGAATGCACAGGAGAAGTCTGTATTTTATGTCCTTTGTATACATTTTAAACCTAGGCTAAAGTTTCCCCAAACTAGCACATTAAAATGAAAAACAATGTTTTGTCTTCTCTTTTTCTAGTGTCAAGAGTTGCTTTACCATCTGATTCCTGCACTTGGAGACAAGGTAAGGATTCTTCATGACAAAATAGATCTATAGAAGCACACTTGCGCCTTACAGTGAGAAACAAAATGAAAACCACCTTTTGAAGTCAATGCAGAGTGACTAATGGGTTATAAAGCATTTTCTTTGTTATCTATAGGGATAGTGAATATGGAAAATGGAATTCTAAAACACAAAATTTAGTTCTAACAAAATAATACAAAAACATGTATTTTCAGACCCAGCTCACTTCTACAGCCTAATCCTCTTTCCAAACACTCTCAGCTGCAGACAGTAGGTGAATTAAATGCCTTGAGAGCAGCAAGACTAGTGGAAAAATGGAAAGCTTTCTATGATTAATTCTCAAAAAGCCTGAATGAGATTTTAGAGCAGCCCTTTCCCACATCCTTATACAGTATGTTGTGATGCTGCTGATCATGGCTGAAGAAAATGTTGGAAATCATTCTCAGTTGCTGTGTGCACATTAATGAGGGAGACAGCTAACGTTAGTCTATGTATGACATGGTTCCCCATACTCTCTAATGATATTCAGAAATTATTATAATTGGGCTACAGCTTACTGGGACAATGTCTGCTGGTGAATGTCCTCCGATTTCAAGGGTTATAAGAAACGATAGAGTGCAAGATAAACCATCCTGCCTGGCATAATTTTAAACAGGTTCCAGCATCCATAAATATGTTTCCCTTAAATGTTTTCAGTCACACTGTAACTTGAGGAGACTTTTTATGTTGTATTGTTTTTCTCCAGCAAACCGCCATCATGAGTACCGATGCGGAGATGGCGGTGTTTGGCCCAGCCGCCATATTCCTCCGGAAGCCAGAGAGGGAGAGAATTGAGGCACAAAACAAACCCTTTGATGCCAAAACTGCCGTGTTCGTGTCTGAACCAAAGGAGCTGTTCGTCAAAGGTGTCCTCCAGAGTAAGGAAGGGGGCAAAGCCACCGTCAAAACTGAGGGTGGGCAGGTAAGTAACACCTCTGAAGTGCAACAAAAATGTTATTTCACAAATAATAAGACAAATAAAACACATATCTGACTACAGCCATGAACATGAGCATATTTATCTCTGAAATTTTGCTTACAGACTTTAACAGTAAAGGAGGATGAAGTCTTCCCAATGAACCCTCCCAAATTCGATAAAATTGAGGACATGGCAATGATGACCCATCTCAATGAACCCTCTGTGCTGTATAACCTCAAAGAGCGTTATGCAGCCTGGATGATTTATGTAAGTGTTTGAATAGGTCTCAAAGTAATTTCCATTCATTAATAATGAATTACTTGTGGTTTAATGTTGACTCCCACTATTTCAGACCTACTCTGGGCTGTTCTGTGCGACTGTGAACCCCTACAAGTGGCTCCCAGTGTACAACCCTGAGGTGGTGGCAGCCTACAGAGGCAAAAAGCGTGTAGAGGCTCCGCCACACATCTTCTCTGTCTCTGATAACTCCTATCAGAACATGCTCACAGGTATGAATCCTGTCTCATCATGATATTGTTCTAGTTTTTCAATAAGGACCCTCAAAGAAAAAATGCAGAAATTAAACACTATACATTGTGTCAAATATTAAAAAAATATTTACTTTAACCACATTTTGCCTCATCTGATATAATGGGATTATATTGCAAAACATTACTATTTGTGTAGGGTTTCCAAGATTTATACAGATACCTGGAGTATTTTGGTATCCTTTCAGTGCATCACAAAGTTCTAGGATGACAACTGGTTTATTGCATTACTGCAACAAAGTTAGCTCACTGGGATTTGGGATAGAGAAACCAAATGACATTACGACATTATTGTTATTACTTGTATGCAATTACTTCATAACTGCAATTACAATTACAAATGCAATTACTTTGTAAAATTACTTGTATGCAAGACAGCGTTGATTGGATGTACAGTGATAACATTACTGCTGTAACACTTACTTTTCGACTGCACCTATTGAACTAGAAAAGAAAACCCTCATCTATTAAGATACGGAAATGTAGTTAAAGGAAGGCTCCAGTGTAAATATGAGAATATATTCTAGACAAGTTAAAAGTCTTGTATAATCTGGAACAACCCTATCTTTAATGAAGTTTCCAAAAATGAAAGAAATGCTATTTTGTTTATTTATATCAGGTGCAACACAACTTGTTAACATCTGCATTCATGTTTAATCTTTATTTCATTCTGTTTGCAGATCGTGAGAACCAGTCTATCTTAATCACGTACGTACTATTGATTTTAAATAAAGCAAACCAATGCATCTAAATGTCTATTCACATGATAAGTCTTTAGGTTTTAATAAGATAAAATCAAACCGAATATTGCACATACTGTATGGGGGGGAGACAAAATTTGAAAATTTATTAGCCTTGTTACTAGAATTTCTGGTGTAGGCTCAAACATGTTCATTTAAATCACAGTAAAATTTCCAAATTTAATTTAGCCAAATTCAAATTACCTTAAATCACAGCCTTTCAGAAATCC